TTAGTTGTATTATGTTGAGAAAGTATGATTTTATAATTGTCTTTAATTAGAGATTATGTTTCCGTTTAAGGAGATGTGTATAGGTGCCAGGTTGACAAGGGGTGGAATGTGATGGTTAATGTTATGTGTCAACTTGATTAGGCTATGATTCTCAGTAGTTTGGCAGACATTGGACTGATTGCTTTTCCATGATGTAATGTAATGTAACCACCTCCATGATGTGATCTGATGTGATTAGCCAATCAGTTGTAGGAGGAGTTTCCTTGGGGACGTGGCCTGCATTCAATATATATGGATACTCTGGCAAAACTCTCTCTAGATTCTACATCTGACTTATCATTCTCTGATCTTCAGTTCTTGGCACGTGAAGCAGCATCCTGCCACCTGACCTGGGAATCTTGGGATTCACCAGCTCCCACAACCTCATGAACCAGCAGCCTTCCACTTGACTTGCAGATCTTCGGATTTGCCGGCTTCCACAACCCCATGAGCAAGGAAAAGCCTCTAGCCTGATGCCTGACCCACAGATTTGGGACTTGCCAGCCTTTACAACTGCGAGAGCCATTTCCTTGAGATAAATCTCCATATATATACACACTTCACTGATTTTGCTCCTTTAGAGAATCAAGCCTAAGACAATTTCTATTACTTCTTTCCCTTTTATTTTTATCCCTTCTATCTTAGAGTTCGCAAATACTAAAGTTTAATAAACTTTTACCTTACCTTAACTAATTTGTATCTTACCGGTTTCATAAACTTCTGGCTTTAACTTTTACCAGTTTCATCTTTTTAAATTAATCAATTATTTCTTTAATCCTTTCAATGTTAGGCCTATTGCCTCTTTTTTATTTAGTAACTGCAGGAATTGCATTGCACAGGCAGTGACCATCTGGCCAAACTGCAATAAGACTCTTCTCCAGATTGTCTCTCTGTTATGGACCAAGTCTGAAGGATGTGCCTAAACAAGGCCCTACTGCACTGACCAGCCACGGTAGAAGGAATCTGCTCAGCCCTGGGGCTATATAGTGAGTTCTGCTCCTTCATGGATGACCTTTTATAAAAGGCCCACACTACTTCCTGACCACTCAGATCTGCTACACCTTGGTCCAGCAAACAGCACCAGCTTATCTGAGATCAAGCTTTCTAACCAGCAGCTACAGCCTATTACCACTTAAGCTAGAGAGAGCTAGGGGCTAATTTCCCCAGACATGTTGATTTAAAATCTTGTGAACTTTATTGTATTTATTGATGGCAGAGATAGCTATCTCCAGACCTTTATATCCCAATCATAACTGGAGAGCTTACCAGGCCCTTACATAGAAATAACTCTTTCAAGTTTCCAACTTTTATTGAATATGTACTGTGTGCCAGACACTATGATAGACCTTAGAGATAAAAATTCAAGTAAGACGTGGATTCTCTACTCAATGAATTTATGTTCTAGTTGGGCAGAAAAACAGGTAAAACAACAGTTAAAACACAGTGGGCTGTGTGCTGTTGAGATTTATTATGGGAACAGAAAGGAGGGGCATCTGGATCAGTGAAAGCTTCAGGAGAGGGTGACAGGAGGTAGTCCCCCAGGACCTCACACCCTGTGGATTGATCAATCTCTTCCCCATTGCCCCGGCACCCTCAGAATCATACACACAGGTCCTCATGGAGATGATGAAACCTGAATTAATGAGGGCGCCAGGCTCAGAAGTGGTTTCCTGTCTGTAAAGATCCCCACGGTGAGGGACAGAGGGACATGGGAGAGAGGACAGAAATGAGCAAGAAACCTTATAACTCTCCCCATACACACACATCACCATCCACCCAGCCCCTGACTTGGACACCAAAAGACAAGGTGAAGACAAGGTGAAGACATCCTCTCATTCAACCACCACCACCAGCACAGTTGGTCCTGAGTCAGCGTGGCCAGGACAAGACACATTAGGTGTCGCTCAGCCCTTACCTGGGGATCAGACAGGGCTAGGGGAGGGACCATGAGGAAGCAGGGCCCACACACCCGCCATACTGGTCTCTGAGGGCAGAACAGGGAGCTCAGGGCTGAGCCCTACAGGCCAGGGCTCCAGGCAGCTCCTCTAAGCAATGGCACTACTGAGGGAAGGGGGGTCTGGTTTGCTTCAGTGCAGGGACAAGAAAGGTCAGGAGGGGGACTTGGCTGAAGGGAAGTCCTGGCTTTAAAAGGTCTGGATGGGGTGGGATTGAGATGGAGAAAAAGGGGCAAATAAGGCCTTGGGGAGGGGAATGGAGTGAAAAGGAGGGAAAGAAAGGAGAGGGCTGGTGCTGGGGAGGGGGACAAGACCAGGTGTTCTCCTGGCCCTGGGGCATCAGGCACAGGGCTGGCTCCTCCTCCCATCTCCTGGCATTATGGGGCCCTACTTATTACCCCACAGGGCCATCTTCATATTTATAGGAGTTGGGTGGAAGTGGCTGGACTTCATGTAGGCGGAGATCTTCTTCAGGCCCTAAGGGTGGGGAAAAGAAGGCCAGAGCTCAGGATCTGCTCCCCGTCAGACTCTAGTACTTCCCATGCAGGCACAGCCAGCTCAGAGGACCCGCCACAGTCCTTCCATGTGGGGCGGGTGATGGGGCAAAAGTCTTCCTGTGGTTCCCTGGTACATTAACTGTTCCAATTTCCTTACATTCCTGATCTTAATAAGAGCTCCTCCCATCTTGGAGATCCTACACTGTGCTAAGTGCTTTATCTCCACTAGACATTATAATACAGGATTAGAAAATCCTCCCAGTTGTATTGAAAGATAAATTCTACTATTGCCATTTATCAAAAGGGAAACTGAGGTGCACAGAGGTTACACACCTTCCTTCTGTTCACAGAGCCAGTCCTGGGACAGTGCTGGAATTCAGCATGGCTGTCTCTCCCCAGTCCTGGGCTATTTCTGCTGCACTTTCTCCCTTCTGACCCTCAAAGGAGGATGTCTCACTCCTAGTGTAACAAACATTCTCCTTTTGCAGAGGGAGGTTCCTGACTCATGTCGGGCTCAATGGGGCTTGAACACAAAAAAGAAGGCAGAGCAGGACAAAGGGGGTCAGAACATACCCATTACAGCCTGCAAGAGGCCAGATCTTGGCAAATGACTCAGCAAATCTAGATGATGATTGAAAGGGGAAATGGACTAGCAAAACTAGGCAGGGCCAGGCTATAATTATTCCACTTGTAGGAGGGCATCCAAGCTTCTCAGCCTGATAACTGAGCCCAGTCTCACTGTGCTCCAACCTACCTCACCATAGCTAAGAGGACCAGGCTAAATGACACTCAGGTGTGTGTTTCGGGCTATCATAACAGAATAGATAAGTTTTGAAGGATTCAAAGGCATCTGGAACTTCCCAAATCTAAGGGGAAAAGCCCTGGTAGATCACAGGCCCCAGTCCACAGCTGACATTCAAAGTCATCTTAGCTCTTGTGTCGTCCCCAAGGTGCTTAGCTTGGACCAGAACCAGAAGTTGATGAGAACTAGTCAAGAAAGCAGATCTTGCTGGAAAGGGGTAAAGGAATAAGAACTCTAGGCTGAAAACTCTGTTGGCGACTGCCTCAAATTCTCAAATTTATAATCAAGTAGATTGGGTTGTTCTCCAACCAGCTGACCAGGTGTGATGGATGACTGGCTGTGAGGTGGGGTCTAGGCTGTGTTCCCCTAGAACCCAGTTGGCACCATACACCCCATTCACCTGTGATGGCTATAGTTATCTAACCACTCTGAGCTTGGGGGATGGGCTCCAGGGCAGGGCCATGTTTGCAGGCCCCACTGTGCCTGACCCAGTGCCTCATCCACAGAAGACCATCAGTGAACATGAGTTAAATGTACTGACCCATCTCAGAGATGGAAAACCTTAGACAATGGGGAAGCAGAAAGGCAGAAGAATGGAGGGAGAGACAGTGTCCCACTATAGAACACTTCAAGATAAAATCCTTCACAGTGGCACCCTCATAAATATTCAAACCCCGGCACCTCTATAGACCTGGGAACTTCAGAAGTTGCCCACAACGTGGACTGGATTGGTGCAAAGCATTCTGGAGGTGATGTATAAATGCTGTCTGTGTCTTTGGAACTTGGTAGCAATCCTACCTTATCTCAGTCCTGCTACTGCCAGCTACACACACACTCCTCAAGTTTTGCCTCATCCATACTTTCTTGGGCTTTGAAACTCAAGCAGGAAAAGATCTGAGCTTTCCCTTTCGGCACAGGAGGAGAGCCCATAGAAGCTGACAGGAGCCTGGCACAGCCTGCACTGGCTCTGTGACCTTGAGCAAATTCCTCACCACCTTCAGTTCCAGTTTCCTCATCTGTAAAATGGGGGGTGATAACTCCATCTACCTTGTAGTAATGTTGTGAAGATTAAATCTGATACAATATATGTAAAATGTTTAGCACGGATCCTGGCATAAAGCAAATGCTCCATATATACTAGTTACTGTTTTTTTTTTAGCTCTGAAACTAGGAAAATGTCATGGAGAAGGGAAAAGGAAAAAGGAACATCATAGAGGAAGGGGGACCAGGGGCCTCACCTCAAAGTGGGCCATGAAGTCCTTCAGGTTTGGGAATGCGTCCAGGCACTTAGGCTCAAAGATACGGTTGTGGTCGAGGACATCATAAGCAAGGAAATCCACAAAGGTGATCTGCAGAAAGCCAAGGATGAGTGGATGGGTAGCTCTATCATCTGGGAGGAATGACAACCCTGTGTCCCCTGTCTCCTTCCCCCTTTACCTTGTCCCCTGCAAACCATGGCCGCTTCCCCAGGAACTGTGAGAAGAGCCTCATCTTGTCAGGGAGTCCCTCCAAGTACTGAGGCTTCAGCTTCTCCTGAGACAGAAAACAGCTGTCACCACCCTTGGACCCTGCTCCTTGGGCAGAGAGGCAGTTCCCTCACTGCTGGGATGACCCAGATGGCCACGGGTGAGCCGCCATCCTCCCTGGACTACCCCTGGGCTGGTGCTCAGGCTTCCTTTTAATCCAACCAGCATTTATTAGACCCCTAATAAACCCCCTCTGTGAGAGATCTGGGAAGGCAGAGAGGTAGATAACACCGTCTTTGAATCTGTCACCACTGATCTCCAAACAACCCACCTATAGGTCTGACCCAGGAGTGCTCTAAGCACCTGGCTGAGCACTCGCCTCAGATCTCGGGTAGAGTCACAGAAGCAAAGCATTACAAGAGCTAAAATAAGGAAGTGGAAATTCTAGTCCCTGGGTTGGCACAAGAATGGAGAGGACTTTTTAGTAGTTTCCAGAATAGTGAGGAAAATTTGAGAGGATGAAAGAAAGGAGGGAGTGGAAGGCATTCTTGCAGAAAAACTCTGTGATGGATGCTGTGTGGCTAATCATCCGGATTCACAAGAATCCCTGTGGGTTTCTAAGGGGAAGACACCGGGAAAACAAGATAAAGACGTTGTTTAGGAACTTAATTTCCACACTGGGGGGAATGTGGACTTTATCCTAAAATTGGGGAAACTGATTCAGAGTTTTCATTTGAGGAGATTTAGAGTTATGGAGGTCACTCTGTAAGCAGTGTAGGGTACCCCTTGGAGGATCTATAAGTCTAAGGAATTCAAATGGCACACAGGACAAGTACAGACAGAAATTGAAGAGTCCCATATCCTGATCCAAACCCTGCCCTAGTGCAGCCCCACAGGAACTCACAAAGTCAGGGCTGTAGCACACCCTGGCCAGCTCCAGGCGGGTGTCCATAATCTGGTTCTCCAAGATGTCCACACGAATCTTCTCTGCTTCTGTCTCCCCACCTGCCGCCCACACATCAGACAGTCACCCTCTGCATCCCATCCAAGCCAAGCCCAGGGAATGGTCACCAGGCCTCCTGTGTCCCCGCACCTGCCCCCAGCCCCACTCACACATGTTGTGCTTGCGGGCAATGTAGCGCATGATGGCGTTGCTCTGGGTGATCTTGTGAGGCCCGTCAATTAAGTAGGGCAGCTGCAATGGCAACCAGGCAGGTCTGTTGCACCACCAGCTCCCCAGCACCCTCTCCCCTGAGTAAGGGCAGAGCTGGGACTTGGCACACTCAGATTTGGCCCATGGTAGGCACTAAATAAATATATGTACAGTGAATGTATGATCTGGAACAGGGAACAGAATGGAAAGGCAGTGAAGGGAACTAAGAATGAGAGAGGTGGAGAAAAAGGCACCTGGTTGTAGAACTCCAGGCTGGGGAAAGGAGATGGAGGGAGAAACACCTTTCAATTTCCCCCCACATCCTGCACTTACATTGGGAAAGTCCAGGCCCAGCTTGAATTTCTCATTCAGCCAGTGGCCTTTGTCATAGTTGGGAGCTATGGTGGAAACAATGAAACGAAAACAAACATCCTTGTAGTCCAACATTCCTTTGCCAGAAACCATACCAATAGTCATTCCAAGACCCCTTGAGACTCGTGGATCTGGAAGCTGACAGAACCGCTAAGTCTCACACTCACAGAAGTAAGGCTTACAAAAGTGGTGGGGGCAGCAATTCCCTCCCAGTATCCTGAGCTGGCAGGGCAGAGCTACACAGCCAAAGGGAACCCGGGAAGGGGCAGGCCCCAGATCCAGGTGGTGGAGGCCCTGCAGAGGTGGGCAACAGGTGGCCAGGGCATGTGCTACTTGTTACCAAATCAGCATTAGTTGGCAGAGGGACCAATACGAGGGTGCCATTACCGTCCCCCTCAATGTACTTCTTTTCCTCATAGTTTGATTCTGTGTATTCCAGGAGCAGGCGGATGGCATGACCCAGCTGGGAGTGACAGCACGGGGAAGTGGTCAGAGATGGAGGGACCCTGACGGCCTGACTTCATCTCCGGGTACGCTAGAGCCACCCTCATATCCTCCCATAGGCGAGAAAACCCCACAGAGCTCGCGGCAGATGCCGCTCACTACGCCCCACCCCCACCCCTTCTAAGCCCAAAGTACTCAGCCTGGATGGCGCCAGGCTGCAGGACAAGGCTCAGCTCCAGCAAAGTTCCAGAGAGGAATCTTCTAGAATCTTTCCCCGAGCTGCTCAGAAGTTCCTCGCCACGGCGCCCCTGTCCCATCCGCCGAGGCGGACCCCTCACTCACCCCGCGAATGTCCCAATAACCCAAAACGATGGCCATAGTGCAAGTTTCCCTGAAATTTCGGGACCCGCTGCAGAGGCGCTGAGCTCAGACTTTATCAGGCTAGCCGGGGGGCGGGGCGATCTGTGACGCTCGGCCCCGCCCCCCGCCCGGGAGCTTGGGGGTCATTTCACACCCCCCACCCCGTGCCGCCGCCTCTGCCCCACAAACGTGAGGGCAGGAAGAAGTAAATGGGGTTTCGTCCACTAGCCTTTAAGATTCGGGTAGCCGAAGTTTGGATGCATAGAAGCCAAAGGCGCCTGGACCCCTGAACCCGTCAGTGGCTTTAGCTGCCGCTTTCAAACCTCTGCTAGGTCCAGGGGGAGACCGCCGTGCTTTTGGGGAAACAAGCCAGAAACACCGTGTTTCTCAGGACTCTGTGAGGATCACTCTGCCAGAGTCAGGCCAAAACGTGACTGCTGTAAGACAAGAGAGCTTAAATGAGCCCCTATACAAGGAACAAGGACTCCTGGCCAGTCAGAAAAACTCCTTGGAGCCCTGATACTCCATAATGGGTTCTCCTCCACAGGAAAAAAGTATCAGTGGACGGAGTGACCAGCCTGGACAAAGGACAGAGAATAGGAAATGTGGTCTCCGTGTTTTCTTTTCAGGGACTGTTAAGGACCCTGCCCTTTGTCAGTCCTCTGGCAAAGGATTATAAGGACCAACTGTAAACTCATCAATTAGCATTCCAGCCCAACATGTGAATCTAAATCCAAGAATCAGACCCTGCAATGAGGCTGGGTATGCAATGCAGACCCAGAAATGTCCTGCCAGCCAGCTAGATGATCCTCACTTTGACTCACCCCCAAACTGGGACAGTGACATGAGAGTGGTGGTCACAGAGGGCATGTGAGCAAGAGAGGAAAGAGCATTTCCTCAGAGTGGCCAGACGCCTGGCCTGCTGCTGAGGGAGGCCAGAGAGAGGTGAGGCCAGCGTGGAGCCAGGGG